GTTAATCGACGCCGCGAAATAGTCGTTCCCCTGTTTCGGTTAAGATAACAGAGGTGGTTTAATGAATGTAACACTGTATTAACAGGTTAACAGAATAATATATTTTACAATAATATGATGAATATGTTACAGAAATTTGATTCGACTTTGCGATATCTCTAGATAAATTCGTTTGCTCGTCAGATTTGTCGAAGTGTCACGTTTGACTCGTTGAGGTCGGCTGGGTCACGACACCGTACAACAAAGGACTTAATTTATAACTCCCTAAAGTGTTGACGCTTTACAACCGAAGATGACGAAGTCCAAGCGTTCGAACTTCGCATTTTTTTGCATACACGAGACTAAAAAAATTTCTGCTTAATTCAATTAGAAATAAATATCATCAATGTATTGGATTTGGATTATAATTTTCAATCCCGCCGTTACGAGACGACCGACAACCCTTGCGTAACACATTAGCAAATTACTTAAAAAGTAATAACAAATTTAATTGAGGTGGTAAGGTGTGTAGGGTGTCAAAGAAATACTCGGCGTTTTATTGAACAGTGCATTTATTAACTCGACTAGTGGCTTCTTTACAACTCTCGGCTCGCGCGACTCGTGCGATCGACTATTTATTCACGACTCCTCACTTACGACTCTCGCTTACGACTTCTATAGATTGGGCAATCACGACTGATCTCTTAATCCCTTTCTTTTCTTTTTGTCATCTTCCGATATTCCCACTACGCACGTATTCGTTAGGCGTCTGCGATTGTAACGTCAATCCACATCAGAGACAAGGCCGCTGTCACGACCGGCTCACTTTAAAATCAATGTATATCGCCGAAGTGCCTAATGAGCCATCAATATCCCAACGATCCTTCCGTCGAATATTCGAGGAGAAGGCGTGCGTGGCGGCGATCGCGGATGCTCAAGGATAGTGGGGATATTGAGGGATGACAAAAGACAAATAACCGAATCCGATCGGAAGTCGAGTTGTAAGAGTCAGTCTTAAAAAGTTACGCCTAGAGCTCGGAAGCAAAAATTGTGAATTGTGTTAGAAGAAAAATAAAGTTTCTTTTCTTTCTATTTTTTTTTTTTTTTTGTTATTCTTTTGTGTTATTTTACGTGACACGATCGTGGTCACGTACGCCTTCTTCCGAATATTTGGCGGAAGAATCATTAGGCCTGTCGGTATTTACGCTTTATTGAGGCCTTGCTTATGTTTCGTCGGTCTCTCATAAACAATCTTCCAACGATTCTATACCATGTACCGACAAAACCGTTGTACCGCGCAGGTAAATCTTACGTGCTAAGCTTATTCTATTTACAGCTACGCACTTTAACCTATTGACTTATCTATAACTTGCTTGGAATCGCTCAAGAAAACGTACTTTCCTACCCGCGTGCGTAACGTAACTGTTTCTCGAATTTTCATCGCTCGTAATTGCCCGTCCTTCGTTTCGATTGTTTTGGTTTCAGACTGGATTAACGCGTTGCGGGTTTCGCCGCTATTGTCACGTAATATAACAAAATAAAAAAGGAATTTGAAGTGAAAAAAAAGAAAACTTTATTTTTTTTCTAACATCAATACACTTTACAATCTACTTCCGAACTCTAGGCGTGACTTTCTAAGACTGACTCTTATGATTTTACTTTCGATCGGA